CAGGAAGTGATGGCAGGTCAGAGGAATGCTACTGAAACCTGTCTGTTGAACTGCGGAGGTTGAGAATATATCTTTCTTTTTTCACCTTGAAGACGATGGAGGATTCTACTGCGGGCTCGTTCACAAACCTCAGGACTGAAGCCAAAAATGTGTCTGGATACAAACTAAGTCGCTTATTCTCCCTCATCCCTGGACACTTATCAGTGCAGTGGCAGTCTAAAGTTAGAATTAATATACAATATATACTGTATATACACACACACGCGTGAGAATAGCCTTACTCTGTACATCAGCTTAAAGATTTATATAGTTCTCTGTATGTACACATATATATGAGGAGGAGGGAGGAAAAATACAGGACGATCAGTAATATTTTTAGTGTTTGATCTGGTTTATATATATATATATATATTTTAGATCCTCTGTGGCGCATTGTGCATTTTTGTGTGTCCTTGAACTGGAGTCTGTAAGGCACACACACACTTTGGGATAAGCAGTAACGCTGTCATTAACATAACTAAAGGCTAAAAACACACCAACTATATGTAAAGAAATAAATGCTCGCAGCTTTATACAAATTCACTCAAGCAAAGGGTTAAAAAAAGGCAAAAATTAAAATCTAAAACATGTTAAAAAAAAGGGTTAGACACTTTAAATGACATGTAACAGTAATTAGGAAAATACAGGAAGATTTTTAAAAAGTGTACACTGTCAAGCATCTCATTCAAATACTCTCTTCTTGGTCTAAACACACCCCCACCTCCCAAATGATAAAATATAGTGATGAAGGAATGATTGGTCAAGCTCATCTGGTTAACAAAAGGTTCAATGGCAGCCTGGTTAGCAGTGTTTTCATAAGGTCCAGATTCAGAGCATGCAACGTTTTCCTGTTCTTGACAAGGTCAGTGTTGTCCATGTTAATCTGAAAGGACCGTGGTGGTTATGTGTTTGGCTGCAATCACTGAATCATTTCTTATGGCTGAGTTAAGCTGTAGATGCTTAACAAATCTAAGCTCAATTATTTTACAGTACTAGGGTCTCAAACTCTTGGCCCGCGGGTCACTTCTGGGTCCTGTTTTTCCCCTTGGTGCTTCCCTCAACCCCAATAGGATGATACAAATGTGATAGGCAAATAATAAACTCACATGACCCTAGAATGTTTTATCTGCTTTCGAGCTACTGTAGGGGGCGCAGCAACTTCATTTCAACTCAGAAAGTAATGTGACCATAAACCCTCGGCATCAGCAGTCATGATGCACAGAAAGAGCTGTGGAGCCCTGCTTGTTTCCCCAGATATAATGAATAACGTTACACACACAGATAAAAAAATAAATAAAATAAACGAACAGAGAGTGTGTTGTTACCCAATGACTAACATGAGACAATCTGATAATAAAAGAGTCAGAAACATTTTTGACAAAGAAAGTTAACTTTCAGAAATGTTGCATGGACACGAAGGACTTGACCCTAAAGGAGGCACTGATTCAAGTTAGTGACAGAAGTGACCCCTGGTCAGTATGAGCTTGAGACCCTTGTTTTACAGTGAAGATTGGTTGGCAAGAAAAAAAAAAAAAAAAAACCAAACGCTAAGTTCGTCTTTGTGGTTTAGTAGACGCAAAGGTCGGGAAATTTCATCTCGTAGATCGGCACGGAACGGTTCTGAGTTTGGCCGTAACCTGATGAAATGGTTCCAGACGGGCTGGGCGGAGGTCTGCGTGTGAAGAGGCAACAGATTTAGTCATCACACGACAACAGCGTCACCACCTGGTGGACACTCTCCACCGTCAGTACGACATGAGTCTCCACTCACCTGATTGTAATCTCAAAGATCTGATTCAGTTTACTCTGCAGTTGTGTGGCCTGCACAAAGAAGAACAGATCTCATTAGAAACCATTAAAAAATATCAATTAGAAAAAGAATAACATTTAAAAAACAACACGGTTCAAATGTTGTTATATCGCTGACGTACCCTGGCACCACAGTGAGCAGCTATTTCCTCAAAGGGAGCCTTCTGAAACTTCTCCACCACTTGTCTCCTCCGCTCTCTCTCCAGCTCCTCCATACCAACACTGTCTACTAGAGCAGAAACACACCCGTAAACTACAGCACATCTTAAACACTTCCAGACTGTCATTCCATGAAAAGTTCTTGATTTGGAAAACTGTCTAAAGTCACCAGAAAGGATTTACCAATGGCATTTTTTAAAGTTTCAAATGTGATCTCCTCTGCTGGTGTCCTCTGTAAACACACAAACACAAAGAAGTGAAATGATACTGCACTCAAGTGTCATCCAAGACAAAACGGAGAAACTTTTGAATGCGGTCAAGTCTTAACCTCTTCTTTTTCTGGACTGTTCCTGGACTCCATCTCCACCTGCAGTGAGATGGTTTCACCGATGCTCTTCCTCTTGGACAGACGATCTTCATCTGCAAAAACAGTTCAGGTTCATTTTTCATTATTTCATTTTTTTCTAATCTTCAGGTACTAGGTTTGTTTCAGGCAAAACACACACCCAGCAGGGGCTTACCAGTGTACTGTGGGACATAAGGTGTTGCCAGTCTCTCAGTGTTGTATCCACTGCCGCCCAGTACTTCTGTGATCTTTGACTGAAGGAATAAAACTCCCCCGTCGATCTTGTCCACCGAGGACGGTAACCTGGAGGAACAGAGAGATCCAGTTGTTTTTTTAGCAGAGACAAGACATTTTCTGGCATGTATTGATCGCTTAAATATTCCATCTAATGTTGCTGTCGTTCGGTAGGAAGAAGAGATGAATGTGAAGTGTGGTACGTACTTGGGGTTGTCAATAAAGATGTCCTCAGGTAAAAGGTAGTGGCTTTCTTTCTGCCTGACCTCAATTACCTGCAGGGCAGATGAGAGAGGACGTTTATTGACACAGATTATTGTGAATCAGACAAATGTATCTGAAAGAAACTCAAGGTCCTCAACCTCGTGTACGTGCTGGCAGAAGGCTGGGACAGTGGTGAGCTGGCAGATGAGGTTGAGGTAGGCGGCAGCCAGGGCATGAATAGCACATCGGTTATAGACAGGCAGAGACTCGTCAGGCGACAGGGCCAGGTCCTTCACAGGAGACAAGCACACGTTACTGGAATAAAACTGAGCATGTTGACCTGCTTAAAGGTTTTCATATTTATAAAAAAAAATTAAAGCATTTTAATTTCACCATCAAGCATTATATCCTTTGTCTGTTTTCAGCAAATGTATACATCCATACAACCAGGCATCACAAATGAATCTGTACGGCAGTGGTTCCCAGTTCCAAGTGTGGGCCGGGCCACATTCAACAAGAGTCGCTGTTTTGTAGGAATGTAGGAAAGGCTACAGAGAACGTTTGGGAACCACTGCTGGACATTCAGCTCGCATCAGTACCTGCAGTGCCAGTGTGAGGCGGATCAGGTCCACCACCACCTCCTCGTTTGCCAGTTCCACACTCAGAAGACCCAGCAGAGCAAAAAGAGTCTCGTAGTGTTGCCGACCGCTGTTCGGCTCCTTACAGCCAAGGTAGATGTGACGGTACAGCTGCTGACCGTGCTGTAGGAGAAAGGAGGGAATGGGCTATAACTTAAATATATATGCAAAACAAAAGTGCATTTTTTATGACCAATAGATACCTTTTTCATAAACAAGTTGTCTTGTCTTGAGCACTTGTCAACTTTCAGCTTTAATGCAGAGATGTCCGAGATGCTGCTGCACATTAGGAGAAAAAGCGCAACAAAAACGACGACTGTAACTGAAGCACTCGGATAAACAGTGTCAGAAAACGTCAGTATTCTGTTCCTACAGACGCAACCTCCTACCTCATGTTCTGGAACTTGGGTCTGTTGTCGTGTCGGTCAATGAGGCTGAGGAGGATCTGGAGAACCAGCAGTCGAATCTCTGGGTCCTCAGTAAGAGAGAAGGACAGGAGTGGCTCCAGGAAGGAGCTGGGCAGTGCGGTCAACATGTTGGTGGTCTGGAAACCTGCTGTCACCTGACCAGTGATGGAGTATTAAGAATTGACACATGCCAGTTCAAAATAAAGAAAATTTAAAAAAAATAACACAATAAATAAAAATGAAAAAACAGACCTACCTGGACCAAAGACTTTAGCAACATGACCTGAATCATCCTAGTGCCCTCTGGCCTGGAGGTGGAAGAGCAAAGACATCAACAAAGTACATCGATCGGACATCAATATATCCGTACACGAAGCAGTGCTGAGTGAAGGACACAAACATGAGGCACAAAGAGAATCAGTCTGAAGTGATTTACCCTGAGCCTGTGGACGGCAGCACCAGATGAACTCCAGGCACAGGGATCTTGCCCATAATAAAGAGCATGACCTCTGACCTCTGGTATGTTGGCAGAGTGTTTGCAAATGAACCTGAATGCAGAATTTAAAAAAATAAATAGAAAAATTACTGCCATTCTTTTTCTGTGTATTTAAAAAAGTCACATGACCCCACCCACTGACCAATGGTCCTGATGACAGCCTCCTGCAGCTGCCGCTCCTCGTGAGCTTTGATGATCTTAGTGCCGATGTTGGTGCTTCCATCGTACGAGCCGGTCAACTCGTAATCAACGCTCAGACGTAGCTGTCGCAGCAGGGTGTTGAAGACCTCCAAAACTGTGGGACCTGCAGGACCGAATTATGAGTATTCACTTCACAGTATAAAATAAATATAAAAATATACATGCGTGTGTAGATATTGACAGCTTACCAACAGAGCCACTGGCTGCTATGGCAGCTGCCTCCAGTAACACCTCCACTATTCCAGCTCGAACTGTGGCTGAGTTTTTACTGTTAGCATCCAGGTGACCCAGAAGCTGCTGCATGACCAGGTGAGAGTGTTGAGACTGAAAAGAAAAACAGAGAAGAAATGATTTAACAATAAAACCGTACAGAAAAATAAACAGAACCAGATGTGATGAAAAACTTTTTGCAGCCCTTCGCAAGAACAGACTGTTATTCATGGGTCATTAGTTTGAATCCCAGCTGAGACAAGCTTTGGTGTATAAGTAGATTTACCACTATATTTTTTATCTTCTAGGCTAGTCAAAACATGTCCTAAAGATCCACAGTCTGCCCTGAGTTACAAGTGACACTGGTTGAACTCTAAATATTTGACATGAACAGAGGTTCTCAGGGAAACAGAGACTGACTGACTCACCTGGATGGAGTACATGATGATTTTGAAGCAGCGCACAGCAAATGTCTTCCCCTCCCATAGAGAGTGGTTGTCCAAGTGCCTGAGGGAAACACAGAGAGGAGATGAATAAGAAATGACGTAATCATATGGCACCAAGAGTGAGGGACAGCAGTTGGAGTTTGGAGGTGAACTAAAAATAAAAATAAATAAAAATATACATATGATTATTAGCAGGGCCACTTTTACTGTCCCATAATGAAACTGAACAGTGTGTTGAACTGCACTGTTGTGTTTCTATGCAGAAATGGAGAGTGGATGGCACATCAATCAATAAAGCATGTGACTGGACGTTGATGGATGGATAGATGAGAGCTGCTCTCATACAGCAACGGCCAATTGAAATCAGGTGGTGGAGGAGAGGGGAATGGGGGGGGGGGGGGT